ATAAGTATAATTAAAAAAAAATAGGAAAATGGGTTTAAAAGTTTTATCAAAATAATTTTATTTTCCAATAAGATTAAAAGTAAATAAGAATGATAAGTTAAGGCATTTCAGGTATTAAAGAAATATTTAAAATTCTTTAAATTTGATATATATATATATGTTTATTTATACATATATTAATTTATTAAATTTTTGAACAGGAGAATTAGAATGTACTAATTTAATGTTCCTCAAATAGTGCAACCAATATGTAAGTTTATATTTTTATATTATACGCTATATAGATTTCCAAGTATATTTTTATAATACTTATTTTTATAGCCTTAATATACATTTACACCTTCACTTATTGATATGTATTATTACAAACACAATTATTTATTTATTTATATAGGCCCCAGCAAATGCCGACCATCAGCACATTCCCACCTCCACATCATGATGTTGATTGGTTTTACCTAGAAGAAGATGGAAAATGGAAAATATTTGATTGGAGAAGATGCAATCTCCTAGAGAATATGCTTCATTACTGTAATCAAGGAGAGTTCTAGATCATTTTCAAAGACATGTAGTTTATAGTGGATTATGATCACATGGTCATGCATCATTAAATTAGTTATTATAAAATTAGGAGAGAATCATCAATTGTGTCTAGGCAAATAAAAATATAATAAGGGAAGTGGTCATATTATAATGGATAAACATGGATTTAATATGAAAAAGTGATATAAAATTAATTGGAAGATTTGATGGTCAAAGGAGAAGTAAATAATTTATATCATTAAAGCCTCTTATTATAATGTATGTAAATAACAAGCAATATGTATTTGATTTGGATTAGAATGTTTAGGTTGAGCCTATAGATGACAAAGGATTGAATAAGAGAAAGATAATTACAAGACAATGGATGAACACACATTAATTATAAGAGTTTTGTAAAATAAGAAAATAATAGGAATTAACCTATATAAGGGAGAGAAAGGCTTTAGAAGAATATATGAAATTACATTAACATCGTAAGAAAATAAGTGGATCTAAGAAAGCAAATAGATTGGGAGATTTGGGAATATCTCCAGATCAAGAGAAATAGGAAAGGAAATAATAGAAATTACAATAACAAAATTAATAATAATAATAATAATAATAATAATAATAATAAACAAAGCCAAAAGATGAATGCTTTAAAATGATAGAACATTAGAAATAGCCAGATCCAAAGTAATTAGAGGAATGGAATTTACTTATTGAAAAGATGAAAGAAGAAAATGCTGAGAATAATGCATGAAATAATAATTATTTTTCCTTAAAATAATAATGAATTAAAGTTCTTAAATTATTTATTTTGATTCTATATAATTTTTTGATTTCTTTGAACTATTCTGTTAATAATATTTCTAAATATAATTTGATTTAATTTATGATTTATGAAGTAATTATTAATTAAATTCACTTTAATTACTTAATAAATTAATAATTAATCAAAAAAAATAGTTGTATTTGTAATACAGATATAATGATTTTCTAATTTTTTTTAATTTTTATTTAATTTTTTTATTGATACCAATGTTATTTATTGAATATTTATATCTTATAAATTAACCTTATTAAAGTAATAAAATAATATCTTATCTTTGAATATAAAATTATTTATAAAAATTAATCATTTTATTATTATATTTTATAATTGTATAGTTTATTTTGAGAATTGGATGCGAATTTTTGGCACTTTTAGGATTTAAATTTTAGTAGCTTAAAATCAATTCATTTAATAATAATAATCAAGATGCGTCCCACTAAATAATAGGATTATTAATTGATAACTCCTCGATCTCCAGAAAGGATTCTCAAAAAAAGAATACTAAATAATCAATCATAATATTTAATGAAATGGAAAGGGTCTGAATAAACTACATGGGAATATGAAGAAAATGTTCGACGTTCAATTTTGGAAGAATTCCTTTAAAATTAACAATCTTTTTAAGAGTAAAAATAAAAAAATCTTAAAAATACAGCCTCATAATTACCTGTATTATAATAAGTACAATAAAGTCTCAAACATCCTAGCTATTCTGAAGAGCTTCTCTTAAATAAATAAAAAGAAATGGCATAAAAATTTTGTAGTTCTTATCCTTAAAAATGTGATGAAATAGATAGTGTTCATTTAATGTTAACAAATGAAGATTGTGTATTTGAAGTTAAATGGAAACCAAGAGCAGATGGAATAGTACCTATTTCAGATTTCTATTAATATGATTAATTCAAATTGGCAGCTCCATTACTCTTTATGAATTTCTTAGAAAATTGCATAGTAGGTCATGAAAATAATACAGATATTAAATTCTATGCTCCTGGAAAAGATAATGTAGAAAGAGCTTAATTGATAAAGAGAATATTACTTCGTAATCCAAAATATACAGATTCTAATAAATAACATAATTATGTGGTTATTGAAGAATAGAAATAATAAGATTCTCCTTAAGTTTTATAACTTAATAAAAATACAATAATTAATTTTACCCAATCTGATACTAAAAAAAATATTGTAAATTAACATACAGAATAATTAGATAAAAATTAATGTCCTTAATAAGTTAGCGAAAAGAAAAATACAATAATAATTTAAGAGTCTTATGAAATTCATTAATAATAATTAGATTCAAATTCATAATAGGAAATTTAATAATAATAGCAATCAATTGATGAAAGGGAAATAGGAGAATTGGTAGATCCTGATGAAAATTAATTAAATGATCAATAATTGGAATAGAGATCTATTTCTTTAGAACCTTAAAAATGAATTATGAATTAAATTTATATATTTAAGATTAATATTCTTTTAAAAAAATGGATAAAAAGATATTAGAAAATATTGAATAACAATTAAAAAGATTACTTGAATAACTTAAAGATTTAGAAGAATATAAAAATGAATTAGATCCAGAAGAATATAAGTATATTCAATCATATAAAATTATAGATAAATGAAAAATGACACATTATAAGAATTAGAGATATTTTAAACTAAATTATAAGAAATAGAATAGGGTGATTTAACACTCAAAAATGCAATATAATAATAGTAAGAATAATTAAGAGCTGCAATTAAGAATTCATTTAATGCTGAAGAAATTAAGCATCTTATGTCGTCATCATAAGGTAACTAAATAAGGGAAAAAATAAAAAAATTAGATTAAGATTATACACTTCAAAGAATAAATTAAGCATAATATGTGAAAGAAACTCTAAATTGTTTAAATTAATTGTAAGATATTGGAATACCTGTAAATTATGAATTAATTATATTAGTTTACTTAATAAGAAATTAATTTTATAAATTCTAACACAGGAAAAGATAATTTTGTAATTAAATAAGATAATGTTTAAGGAAAAACATTATTAAAATCAGCAGAATAATAATTAGCTGCTAATAATATGAAATGATATATATGTCATTTTTAAATAACAAAAATTTCAAATTGAGATTTATTATTTTTCATTTAATTTATTTATGTTTTAGTGTTTGATATCCAAATATTTATTACTTTAAATTACAATATTAATTTATTTTTTTTATTTTTTATTATCATTCACTTTTATAGATTATTATTATTATTCTATATCTTTTCTTGAATATGGTATAACTAAACTATAATAATAAAATAATACTTGTTTATTCGAATATTTATTTGGCAATTTACCCTGTATTTTAATAATAAATTTATTAATCTTATTGAAATTGAGAAGCAATCTCTAAATTTTTTAAATTCTCTTGTGTTTACAATATAGAAATGTTTGCCTATTTTTGTTCTTTTTACTTTAATTGTTATAAGAGTTTTTAATTATCATTATTTAAAACATGATTTGTTTATTATAGTTATTTAATCTAAGTATTTAATTTATTTATAGTAGTTTCTAACTCAGATATTTAATTTTTTTTGAATTGTAATTCATTTTAAAGCTTTTTATTTGTTAATTATAAAGAGGTTATTGTCTATATTAATTCTTAATCAGGATGACAATTTTCTTTATCAAAGACTTATGCTCTAAGAATACTAATAATAGTTTCAATTTTTGATTCAAGAACATTATCATATTTGAGTTTCAATGAATCTAAAAGATTTATAGCTTAAGCAATATTATTAGTAGGTTCTTGTTCTTCTTCTTCTATGAAAAGTTATTTTTTTTTAATTTTGTTAGTTTCACATTTAATAGATGTTTGTGATTTGGTTGTAATCAATTAAGGTTTTTCTCTAGCACTATTTCTTGTGTAATTTTGACTAGGTCTATTTGGATATTGGGGTATGATATCTTTAATGGGAGAGATCTAATCAATGATAGTCCTTGAGATTAATATATAAAATTCTTACATTCTAGAGGGATAATGATTTGAATTTTGAAATGGAGAAATTTGTAAATTTTGATTAATATTCATTTTACTGTTAAAATTAATAAAAAAAAGATGAAGAAAATTTAAAGTAATTATTTTGAATATATATAAATCATCCTTAAGTTTCCCTTAATACAATTTTAGCAAGTTTTTTAAGTTCGATAAAATAACTAAATCTTTGAAAAATAAATACTTATTATTTGTAGGATAATTATAATTATTAATAGCCCTTTACAATTCTAGAATTTTATTTAAAGGTAATATGTCTTATAATTATATTTTTGGATAGAGAATACTATATATATGATATAATTATGAATATACTTTTATGTTGGTTTTCCTAAATCTAGACTTGATCTTTGAAAGGATAATCTACTAGATATTTAATTATATTAATTAGAAGAGTCTTGGGATTTATTGAGTTCATGATTTTTAGGTTGTTTAGGAGATATGCTATGTCTTAATAATTATTAAAGATTAGATGATTTAGTATAAATTTGTTTAGGCTAATCAATCATATGATTCATTTTTCCTCTGACTTCTTTCCTAAAATCATCTAATTAACCAATTGGAGTATTGGAGATAAATGATCCTTAATGCATAAAAATTATTAATGAAAAAATAACCAAAATTACCAAGTAGTTATCTAGAACCAAAAATATTTGATAACAAATACATAGTCAAAGAATAATTGAGTTCTGGGTCATTTGGTGTTGTGTATTTGGCAATACATAAAGTGACAAGAGAAGAAGTTGCTGTGAAATTAGAAAAAGGTTAATAGGAGACATTAGATAGAGAAGTTTATTTGCTAACAAAATTATAAGGAATAAATGGTATAACAAAATTGTTTTGGTTTGGTCGAGAGTAATGTTATAATGTGATGGTTATTGAAATACTTGGAAAAGATTTAGGTTATTATGGAAAAACATTTAAATAATTATCACTTAAGAGTGGATTATAGTTGTTGGAATAATTGATTACAATTTTTAATTGTGTACATTAAAGGGGAATAGTTCATAGAGATCTTAAACCTGAAAATATTATGATGGGAAAAATTAATACATCATAGGCATTTTTAGTGGATTTTGGAGTTTCAAAACAAATATTTGATAAAGGAAAGCATATGTAAATCTAATTAGTTGTTATATCATAGACCATTCAAAGACAAGAAATCTTTTATAGGTACAGCTAGATATGCTTCCGTTGCAGCTCATAAAGGATTTGAAATAGGAAGAAAGGATGATCTAGAATCCTTGATGTACGTAATAATTTATTTGATTCTTGGGTAAAGAAATTAACTGATTGAGGAAAACTGCCTTGGTAAAACTTATAGAATATTGGTGACAAGGACAGGACTATTGCTGTCGGAGAAGTTAAAATAGCTACTTCTATTTAAACTTTGTGTAAAGAATTACCTTAACCATTTGCTGAATATTTAAAGTAAACATTGTTAAATATCATTTAGTTATTTAAAGGGATTAAAATATGAAGATCAACCAGATTATGAATTACTGAAAAAAATAATGAGAAAATGTTCAGAAATAAATACTTATGATAATTAATTTGAATGGACAGAAAAATAATCATAATAATAATCAGATAAAATTGGTGAAAACAAATAACAAAGTTCTTTTTTAGTTGTACCAAATGGATTAGGAGATTAATAGTAAAGACAACATTCAAAGAAATAATCATATATGGGTATTAATGAATGATTTTTAGGTTCTTAATCTTCTAATGCGGTTAAATATGTGCCTTCTTTTTAGGAAGCTATATCATTTTAAGCTAAACCTGGTCCTTAAAAGATTATTGCTAGTCAACCTCATATTGAAGTGTTGAAGTAGATTGAAACTATTGATTTTGATGATATTGAAGAAAATATGGAAAACTAACAGACTTTAGAAGAGAAGTATTTGAAGTTGGAAGATTTGGATGCAAAATTTAAGGATGGAAATAATAAATCTTATTCAGCTATTCATATATTTGAAAATTGAATTATTTTTAAATATTTTATTACTAAATATTTAAGTATAAAATAAATATTTCATGCCTATTTTGAAGCCAAAAAAAGCATTTTAAAAAATAATAATACATGTTAATGGAAGAAGAAATTTTAGTAAAAAAGGAATCTTAAATTGAAGATAATATACAGAAAAAAGTGAGAATTTAAAATGATAATCTTGGGGATTACATTCCATTGTAATAATAATAATAAGAGATTTAAATACAATAAATATCTCATTTACGAAAAAGAACAATAAAACCATTAACAGAAAGAGAAAGAAAAGCTTTACCTATCTATAATGTGAGTCATAAAATACTAGAGGAAATGTAGAATAATTAAGTGATTGTAATTACAGGAGGTACAGGTTGTGGTAAATCAACTTAAGTACCATAAATGATATTGAGACATCATACTAATACAGAATTTGAAACTCCAAGAACAGTTAATATCTTATGTACATAACCAAGAAGATTAGCAGCTAAATCATTAGCTAAAAGAGTGGCAATAGAATTAGATTGTCAATTAGGTACACTTGTTGGATATTAAGTTGGAATGGATTCATAAATAAGTTCAAAATAAACTTAAATTTAATTTGTAACCACAGGAATATTTCTATAAAAATTAGTACATGATAGAGAAGGAGTCTTTAGAGATTATACTCATATTATTATGGATGAAGTTCATGAAAGAGATATTGATATAGATTTTTGTCTAATCATTATCAAAAATCTATTGAAACATTTCAAAGATACTAAATTGATTTTAATGTCTGCAACTATTTGTAGTGATAAATTTGCAAATTATTTTTCAAAAAAATCAATTAATTTAGTTGATGATTTATCATATATATAAAGAGTAGATAGAAAATATAAGTATGTAGATATGACATAAGAAAATGATGTTGAAATTGCTATTAAATTTGAAGGTGAAGAGGATCATGATATTGCTACATCATGGGGTTAAGCTTGGAAAGATATGGAAAGATAGGTTAAATTAACATAAGAATAAAGAGAATTAGAATAAAAGTAGAATGAATTAAGAGAAATAGGATAACATTTCTTGGATGGAGATGATGATTAAACTGCACCTATTATTAAAGTTCCTATGTCTTAAAAATATCCTATTGAAACTTATTATTTGGAAGAAATACATTCATATTTTAATGATGCAGACACTGCAAAAGTAGAACCTCATCAACCTTTAAGATTTCAAACATCATTATATTTTTAAGATTCTCCTAAAATTCAATAAGATAGTGTCTAAGCCATGTTATAAATACTAGAATTTTTAGATTCTAATAAAATTAAAGATACTTAAGGTATGTAAGGAGCTGGTGCTGTCTTGATTTTCCTTCCTGGATACTAAGAAATCATGGATATTAGAGAAGAAATCTATTAAAAATTTGGAGAAGACAGATTTATTATTATTATATTACATAGTACTGTTACTATTCCTAAAGATTTTGATGATATTCAAAAAAGAAAAAGAAGATTAATATTAAGTACTAATGTAGCTGAAAGTAGTATTACTGTTCCTGATTGTAAATTTGTTATTGATTTCTGCTTAACTAAAGAAATTATTTACAATCCTAAAAATTTAACTGAAAAATTAGCATTATAATATTGTTCTAAAGCATCTGCTGATTAAAGAAAGGGAAGAACTGGACGTTTATTTCCAGGAACATGTTTTCGTTTGATACCTTAAAGTATTTTTAAATAAAAAATGACTTAATATTCTGTTTGTGAAATGTTAAGATGTCCCTTAGAAATCATTATATTAAGACTAAAAAAATTATATCAATTATCTTTGGATAATGAAAATAAAACTGAAAAATTAGAACTTAATGCTGTTGTTGATTTAAAGTAGGTTTTCAATGATCCAAGTCGTACTTTAAAAACTGCTATTGATCCTCCAAGTACTAAATAAATTGAAAATGCTATTTAGAATCTTTAAATGTTAGGAGCTCTATCTTACCCAAATGTTCAGAATTCCACTATCCATATAACAAGATTAGGATAAATGATGAGTGATATGCCAATTGATATCTTTTTAACTAGATTTATTATGTATTGTAATATAATTGGATGTGCTTATGAAGGTGTCACAATAGCAGCTATTTTAAGTTAAAGAAAAAATTACTTTTTACATCATTTTATGAGATCTTAAAGATTATTCTTCAATTCTTTATATCTCTATGATAAAGGTAATGAAGATGATTTACTAATATAATTAAGAGTTTATTAAGAATGGGAAATAAAGTTTTTTAATATTCTTAAATCTACAATTACTCAACATGAATTAAGGAGAGAATTAAAAAGATTTACAAATAGAAATATTGTACCTTTAGAAAGATTATATTGTGAATAGAGATCAATAGATCCTAAAAATATGAGAGAAATATTAAATGTGAAATATGAATTATTTATGAGATTAGATTAATAATTTAAAAATGAACCACTTGATTTGAATAATCCAGAAAATTAACTTAAAATTAAGAGCGCTTTTTGTGCTGCTTTTAAATAAAATACTTTTAGATTATAAAAAGATGAAAGATTTGATAAAAAGATTAAGTATTTGAAAGATTAAGGATTTGATTATAATCGTACAATAATGTTAGAGAGTGATAATATTAAATTTGATGGAGTTAATATTTAAAATAAAGAGATGATAAAAGAAAAGATTGCAATGCTAATGGAATAATTTTGTGATTTTCATTAAATAGATAGAAGTTAAAAAAGAAGAGAAGATTAATTAAAGGATATATTAGCATATCATGATGAATAAGCTTAAGGTAGATAAGGATTGCCAAGATTCCATTTTAGATCAGATTTATAATTGTTAACAGAAATAAAAGCAAAATCAAAATTTACTAAAAATTGGGTTAAAAGTGTTATACTTTTAAATAATACTATAATAATAGAATTTAAAGAAGTAGAATTATCAAAATTGAAATATGTTTTAAAAAGGCTTATGCATGAATGTGAATTAATGAAAAGATAATAAAGTAGAAAATAACCATAAAAGATATCTTGGGAATTATTTACACTGAGTAACTAAGTGGATATTATTAATTTTATAGAAATAACTTAATCTTTGATATTTTATGGATGTTATTGTAGATTGATTCATTAACATAAAGAAATTAATTGTGATCCTGATAGTATAAATTTTATTTCATTGGATTAAAATAAAATGTTAGTTGCATATGAAGTTTAAGAGAAAGATTCAAATAAAAGAAATTCAACAAGATAAGTTATTTCAATAGATTAGAACAAATATTTGTTATGGTCATAAATATTGGCTATGCTATTTGGAGTATAGGTAAAACTCTATCATAATAATACAAAAACTCATTTTATAAAAGCTAAAGTTGATGATAGAGACTATTAATTTGATTATTTTATTACAGAAGAGGATTTGTAAACAATTAATTCAATAAGATAATAAATAAAATTATAAATATTAGAATAGAATTATACAGATAGTGGAATATGGTAAAAAATAAGATAATTAGATAAAGTAAGATAAAAAATATTATATACTTCAGATGAAAGATGGAAATAATTATTTGATATTGAATTAAAAGATGAAATTCTATCATTTTAAGAATCAAATGAAAATAAATAAAAAAGAAAGAGAATTTAACATTTTGAATTAGAAGAATAAAAAGCTGATAGTTTAGATTATATGAATCCTATATAAATAATAAGAACAGATTATGATTCTGAAATACCTAAATAATTTGATAATGAAGGTATTAAAATATATGTTCAAATACAATAATTATATTAGACATGGAAATAAAATATAGTTAATACTATAAAGAAATAGAATTTTTTTTTAAGAATGGGTAACACCACTTAAATTTGTTGTTTGGAATGTAATGATTATATGACTGTTGGTAGAACTATTGGATTATCATATATATCAGAAGATCCTGATATTAGAAAATAATTAGATAATGAATCTTTAGAATGGGCTAAGAGAATGGTTATGATTTTGGATGTAAGTTCATTTGGTGATTATTTTAATATATCAATGAAAGTTGATTAAATTAAAGAGTTTCTTTCAGATTAAAGAATATAAAGCATTTTTGAAAAACTCAAATTAATTTTTGAGCCTATTAATTATGTTTTTATAACCTGTAATTCTGGTAAACATATTATTGGTTTTTATCCAAAAATTAAATAATATAAAGAAATAGTATAGATAGGAGATATTTAAAAATTTTATATAATAGATTAAAAATTGAAATTAGTTTATACTAGTATGGAAGAAGAGAAATTTATATTTAGAAAATTGACTATTGATGAGATTAAAAAGAAAGAAAATTAGGTATTTAATTTATATTAATTTTAAGGCTGTTTAATAAAGAAAATTGCAAAATTTAAAATTTACATGCAAATGTTGTTATGAAGAGTAAAGATATGATGAAAAAGGATATTTTGAAGGGAATGAATAAGCTTACAGTTAACATATAAAATTAGAAAGCCACAAGAAAGCTTTTGAGGAATTATAGTTTACAATTATATGATAAATAATTTCTAATATTAATTTCATTATTATTTTAAACATATAAATAGATAATGCATCCTGTAGTATTTTATTTACTTTCAGTTGCAGCACTCTCTATATCTACTGGAATTGGGTTATTTGTTGTTAATCAACAATATAGTAGATAAAATATTTATCCTTAAGTAAGCAAAGCGTAATGTGATCATAGAAATTATAAAATATTTACATTACCAAATTAAATTCATGTTATGATTATAACATCTAATAGAACTGAACTTAGTGCTGTTGCATTGAAAGAAGAAACTGGTTATATGAATGATCCAAAAGATTTTTAAGGAATGAGTAATTACATCTAATAATTATTATAAACTTCTTAAAAATATCCATAAGCTGATTTATTGAGAAAGATTATCATGTTAAATGCAGGAAAATAAATGAGAATTATTAATGAACATGAAAGTATTTATTATGCAT